AAGTGTTAGAACTGTTTTTTCTTCTTGTCGTCTGCACTGAAATGGAGCAAAGGATCATGGGAAATGTAGTTCTCTGTCTTTCACTGGACTATAATTCTTCATTTAAGCAAAGAGACTTTTGTAATTCGATATATATGTTGTGATGATGTTATTGTGAGAACTTTGACAAGGTGTCAGTTACTGTTACGTCCCGAATTCTGACGTTTTAAATCTCAGTTTTGACCTAAAACGACTTCATAAAGAGACGCATGTGACGAGTTTAACGATAGAAAATTGTGGAGTCCAATGGAGCTGACGAGGAACAAAGATGTGCAGACAGACGGATGTATTAGTTTTTTTGCTTGCGTTGATGTTGTCTTTGGTTCTAGACGGATGTACAGACACAAACACGACCGCTCAAAAGTTTTAGAAAACCTTAATTTTTCCAGTTATTTATTGAAATCCAAGTCCAATGAGTCGCTTGAAATGGTCCAAAGGTAAAAAACTGAACAGACTGAGGTTTAAAAAGAAAGATAAAAAACAAAACACAAGTCCAAGCTCTGACAAAACCACCTCAGGAAAAAAAAAAACTAGACGGTAAAAGTTGAAAACAAACCTCATCGAGAACATTTATACAAACTTCTGCGACAGATTTGGGAAGAACTTTCTCAACAATATTTGATTTGTGTTGTAAAAAGAACGACCCACGAGTTCAGAGTTCAGTCCTGGTTCAGTCCTGGTTTAGTCCTGGTTTAGTCCGGTTCAGTCCTGGTTCAGTCCGGGTTCAGTCCTTTCCGGTTCAGTTCAGTCCTGGTTTAGTCCTGGTTTAGTCCTGGTTTCCTGGTTTAGTCCTGGTTTAGTCCTGGTTCAGTCCTGGTTCAGTCCTGGTTCAGTCTGGTTCAGTCCTGGTTTAGTCCGGGTTCAGTCCTGGTTTAGTTGGTTAGTCCTGGTTCAGTCCTGGTTCAGTCCTGGTTCAGTCCTGGTTTAGTCCTGGTTTTAGTCCTGGTTTCCTGGTTTCAGTCCTGGTTTCAGTCCTGGTTCAGTCCTGGTTTAGTCCTGGTTCAGTCCTGGTTCAGTCCTGGTTTAGTCCTGGTTTAGTCCTGGTTCAGTCCTGGTTTAGTCCTGGTTTAGTAGTCCTGGTTTCAGTCCTGGTTCAGTCCTGGTTTCAGTCCTGGTTCAGTCCCTGGTTCAGTCCTGGTTTTAGTCCTGGTTCAGTCCTGGGTTTCAGTCCTGGTTTAGTCCTGGTTTAGTCCTGGTTTAGTCCTGGTTCAGTCCTGGTTCAGTCCTGGTTCAGTCCTGGTTCAGTCGGTTCAGTCCTGGTTCAGTCCTGGTTCAGTCCTGGTTCAGTCCTGGTTTAGTCCTGGTTTAGTCCTGGTTTAGTCCTGGTTCAGTCCTGGTTTAGTCCTGGTTTAGTCCTGGTTCAGTCCTGGTTCAGTCCGGGTTCAGTCCTGGTTCAGTCCTGGTTCAGTCCTGGTTCAGTCCTGGTTCAGTCCGGGTTCAGTCCGGGTTCAGTCCTGGTTTTGGTTTAGTCCTGGTTTCAGTCCGGGTTCAGTCCTGGGTTTCAGTCCTGGTTTAGTCTGGTTTAGTCCGGTTCTGGTTCAGTCCTGGTTCAGTCCTGGTTTAGTCCTGGTTTAGTCCTGGTTTAGTAGTCCTGGTTCAGTCCTGGTTCAGTCCCTGGGTTCAGTCCTGGTTCAGTCCTGGTTTAGTCCTGGTTTAGTCCTGGTTGTTAGTCCTGGTTTGTTTAGTCCTGGTTTCAGTCCTGGTTTAGTCCTGGTTTTTCCATGGTTTCAGTCCTGGTTCAGTAGTCCTGGTTCAGTCCTGGTTTAGTCCTGGTTTAGTCCTGGTTTGGTTTAGTCCTGGTTTAGTCCTGGTCCTGGTTTAGTCCTGGGTTCAGTCCTGGTTCCTGGTTGAGTCCTGGTTTAGTCCTGGTTCAGTCCTGGTTTAGTCCTGGTTCAGTCCTGGTTCCTAGTCCTGGTTTCCTGAGTCCTGGTTGTCCTGGTTTAGTCCTGGTTTAGTCCTGGGTTCCTAGTCCTGGTTCAGTCCTGGTTCAGTCCTGGTCCTGTTCCTAGTCCTGGTTTAGTCCTGGTTCCTAGTCCTGGTTCAGTCCTGGTTCAGTCCTGGTTCAGTCCTGGTTTAGTCCTGAGTCCTGGTTCAGTCCTGGTTCAGTCCTGGTTCAGTCCTGGTTTCCTGGTTTAGTCCTGGTTCAGTCCTGGTTCAGTCTAGTCCTGGTTTCCTGGTTTAGTCCTGGTCCTCCTGGTAGTCCTGGTTCCTCCAAGTCCTGGTTCAGTCCTAGTCTCCTGGTTAGTCCTGGTTCAGTCCTGGTTCAGTCCTGGTTCAGTCCAGTAGTCCTGGTTCAGTCTGTTCAGTCCAGTCCTGGTTCGTCCGAGTCCTGGTTCAGTGAGTCCTGTTTAGTGGTTTAGTTGGTTCTTCTTCTCTGTTTGTGAATCGTCTCGTTTTGCATTTTCTCCGTAAAAACTCGACTCTCCCTCTTTTCTCTCCTCCATCCGTCCTTCTCTCTCTCTCTGTCCCTCCTCTCCTCTTTTCTCCTTCTCTCTCTCCGTCTTTTCAACATTCCCTCCTCTTTCTTCTCCTCTTTTCTCTCTCTCCTCATCCGTTCTTCTTTACATAACTCTCTCTCTCTCTCTCTCCCTCGTTCTCTCATTCTCTCTCTCCGTCTGTCTTCCGTCCGTCCGTCCCGGAGGTGATGTCGTTCCGTCTGTTACCAGGGAGATTCCCAGCCCCTTTGATCCTCCACCCCGTCGTCATGGAAACAACATCCGACTCCAGCTCCGTCGGCAACAGAAGGGTATTTCCCCGTCTCCCTCCTCCCCCCCCTCCCCCCGAGAGCTACTGTAAAGACACGAGCCCCGGACCCGCACCAGTCCGGGTTTAGTCCGGGTTTAGTCCGGGTTTAGACCTCGTGTAGACCGGGTTTAGATCTGGTTTAGTCCCATATCTTAGTCCTGGTTCAGTCCTGGTTCAGTTCTGTTTCAGACGTGATTTTGTCCTGTTCCAGACCAAGTTACGTCTTGGATTCTCACATCTTAGACCGAGTTTAGTCTTCGTTTAGACTTGTCTTAGACCTGTTTTAGTCCTAGTTTAGTCCTGGTTTAGTCCTCACTGAGACCTGGTCCAGTTCCTTGTCCGGTCCTGGTTTAGGTCCTGGCTAAGATGATTTAGTTTTAGGATTTGACTTAGATTTATTTTACTTTTTGATTTACCTGGTTTAGTCTTAGTTTAGATCTTGATTTAGTCCTGGTTTAGTCCCATATCTTAGACCAAGTTTACTCCTCATTTAGACTCGTTTTAGACCTGGTTCAGACCTGTTTTAGACCTAGTTTAGTCCTAGTTTAGTCCTGGTTTAGTCCTCACTGAGACCTGGTCCAGTTCCTTGTCCAGTCCTGGTTTCCTCTGCCAAGGAGGTTATGTTTTTGCCGGCGTTTGTTTGTTTGTTTGTTTGTTTGTCTGTTTGTCTGTCTGTTTGTTTGTTTGTTTGTCTGTTGTTTGTCTGTTTGTCTGTTTGTTTGTTTGTTTGTCTGTTTGTTTGTTTGTTTGTCTGTTTGTTTGTTTGTCTGTTTGTCTGTTTGTCTGTTTGTTTGTTTGTTTGTTTGTCTGTTTGTTTGTTTGTCTGTTTGTTTGTTTGTCTGTTTGTTGTTTGTTTGTTTGTTGTTTGTTTTTGTTGTCTGTTTGTTTGTTTGTCTGTTTGTCTGTTTGTCTGTTTGTTTGTTTGTCTGTTTGTTTGTTTGTTTGTCTGTTTGTTTGTTTGTCTGTTTGTTTGTTTGTCTTTTAGCAACATAACTCAAAAAGTTATGGACCGATTTTGATGAAATTTTCAGGATTTGTTGGAAATGTGAAAAGGAAGAACTGATTTCATTTTGGGTTTGATCCGGAAGAAATCCTGGATTCTGGATCACTTTGAAATTTTAGTTCACATTGTGGTAAATGGGGCCAAAAATGTAGTTTCTCAATATCTGGGTTAATTATTGACCAAACCCCATGAGATTTGACTCAGGGATGGACAATGGGATCCTCTTTCATATTCCAAAGGCTGATCCAGATCTGATCCAGAAGAAGGATTTTATCGCAATTTATATAAAAAATGGGGGTAGTCCTTGGCGGAGGTCTGCGCTCTCTGACTGCTTTTCTAGTTTAGTCCTGGTTTAGTCCTGGTTTAGTCCTGGTTTAGGATTTGATTTGAATTTATTTTACTCTTTGATTTACCTGGTTTAGTCCTGGTTTAGACCTGGTTCAGGATTTGTCTTGGATTTATTTTAGTCTTTGACTTTGTCTGGTTTAGCTCTTGATTTCATCCTGGTGTAGACCTGACACAGACCTGGTTTAGTTCTGGTTTAGACCTGGTTTAGTCCTGGTTCAGTTGTGATGGGAGGGCATCTGACACATCTGAGTCTGGAGTGTGTATTGTGTGTGTATTTGTGTGTTTGATCAGATTTATATTTGTTGTTTGTGTTTGTGTCGTTGAGTTTCAGATCTGAGCAGCACCGAAGGGTTTTCCCCGTGTCCCCCCCCCCCCCCCCCTCCTCCTCCTCCTCCTCACTCTCTCTCCTCTTCCTCTTCACTCTCTCTCTCTTTTTTTCTCTCGTGATTCTTTTTTTTTTTTCTTTTTTTTTTTCTTTTTTCTTCACTGTCACACCCATTTTAC